GTGGGAAAATTCTACTACCAGTCCTTCATCACCTTACACGAAATAGGGTGAATACATCTCATTATAGAATACCAGTCAGTTGCTAGTGTAAACCAATGGAGAACCAGAGTTTTAAAGACGCGAATGCAAAGCAAAACGGAATGAAATGAGGAGGGTGGCAGGAGATGAAGAAGGGAGTCCATCGTTTGGAGGCGAATATCCACTAAGGCCCATTTTGATAGCGAACTCAGTCTACCCTTCACGAGAAAACCTTATGGGAAATCAAGGCTATGTGAAATTCAGTGGAAAAGTCAGCTCCACTCATATCATTGTGGGAACAAACAACTGCCAGTCCTTTATCACCTTAAACGAAATATGGTAAACACATTTCATATATCTGATTTACTGGTAGTCTCGAAAACCGACTAACTTACGGAAAAATAGAATAAGAAAGGGAGATCAGCGCCTTTTTTTAAATATTATAAGCAGTATTAGATGTATTCATTCTATTTAGTTTAAGGTGATAAGTGGGAAAATTTAACTATAAATCCCCTTATCACCTTAAACGAAATGGGGTGAATACATCTGTTATAGATGAGCGAGGCTTAATCATCCCAATGACCAAAAATAAATCTTGCTGCTACTAGGGTGAATGGAGGCGGACAAAGTGTGGGCGTAGAAAAGTTAGGTTTTGGGGCAAATGTTAAGATTGCTTCCATGCCGAGTGAAGGTGGGAGATGAAGAGCCTCAAAGGTGGATCCCACCAGAAGACGACGGTGGATTACTTTTGGCCAGCTGCAGATTGGCTTTACTGGCACACTTGCTGACGCTATGCCTTAGATTCCAGTGATAAAGTGCTAAGCTTTCGTTCGTCATAGGACGGACGTCCTCAGAGCAGGTTGGCATCCTTACAACCATCATTAAGCAATAAGTCAAGAAAAAAGTCCTTAGGGATAATCTGGTGAGTTCTTTTGACTTTTTAGTTTAAATATGGTTTTAAGAATGATGTTATGCTCATATAAAAGGAGAAAGCTTGGCAAGCCTACACCCGAATCGAAAGGGATCGCTTCAAACAGGATGTAAGCAAGAATGTTGTCTTAAAGCCACATGACAACTGGTAAAGAGGAATCTACCACTGCCTTCAGATGGGAATGACTTTAACTTCGGATGAAAGTGTTTGGTGAAGCGATTCGAAGGTCGATCCCACCAAAAGACTCGATAGCCTGAATTTGGTTGTGATGATGATCCTTTGCTCTGATGATGTTCGTCATACGACGGACGAAAGCTTAGCACCTTTCACCGGAATCGAAGCAGATTACCTCGGAAACAGTGCCAGCATGAATCTTCCAGTAAAACCAGTCGACAGCCGGTCAAGAGTGATCCGCCGTCGTCTTCTGGTGGGATTGACCTTCGAATCTCTTCACTCAACACTTTCACTCGAAATGAAAGTAAGCTCAACAATCACGGATAATTAGGTCGATCTCATTACAAGAAGACTGCGGATTCCTTCTGGCTTGCAATAATTCGATTTTGTTGGCACCTTCAGACAGAAGCGATTCTCAAGACACCCGCCCTCGGTTCCGCTGAAAATATACTGAGCTCGAACCTCCCATTTCGTTATGTCTCATTATTATAACGACCTCGTGCCTAAAATGAGAGTGTAGGATTTGTTATTAGGACGAAGAAATGGACAGGCGAAAAGATCTCGGAACGCCGAAACCAAGGAAGAGCGCCCCAGGAAAAGCAAACAGCAAACCAAGGGGAATCTGCAGTTGGTTTTCTATGAAATCCACATAAAAATATCTTCATCACTCATCTTAATTCACCGATATACCAAGATATTCGCGTGAAATCAGTTCTTCTTTGTACATCTACAGCTGCGGCTGAGTATTATAGCCAATTCTGTCCACTACCAGCTCTCATAACACCAATTACCAGCAATATCAAATAGTTGCGATTAGGCTGCCATAAGTGGTCATAAACCATCTTTGATAATTCACACACCTGATGGCATGTTATACCTCCATTATACCATTTTACCATACCAAGCTCTCAAGACATATCGTTATTGCCAAGCGAATATAAAATTACCCTGATATTAAATAATTATTTTAATGTAATAATTTAATTATTTGACGCATTTGATCTAGAATCAAATCTCATTAGGAAATTTATACAATGGCGATCTGCTCATAATAGTTAAATTAAATTTCCTTAAAAAAGTAAATCAATAAATATCTAGTTACTGAGGGAATTTCTTCATGCACCATGAACAAAAATGAATTCCAACTGCAATCGCAGAAGCTTACACAACAACAAGACCTGCTTAAGCTCAACAAACGACATTATTCGAAGATATGAAGACCAAGATGGTGTGGTCTTTTGTGTGGTTGCAGTCTCCTTTCGTTGTGTAGAAGTTGTTTGATCTTGTTTTCGCAACTTGGTCATGTTGGTAAGAATAATGAGAGAAACGCATCTAGTCCGGATTCCATTGTATGGAGCCTCATTTCCAGAAATAAACCGTGGACGTAGTCGTCATCGTCTGTGATTCTTGTCATTCTTAGCACCACACAACAACTCGTCAAAGCGACAAGTGAAGCCGATCCTTTGACCATTTGTCTGCTAAACAATCGTGATACCTCTCCTTCCGTCATGGGCTAATCCTTAATCCTATATCCTCGTATCACGTCTTCACTATCACAATTTTTTGCTTATTTAAATGTACTGTCGTGTTTCCTTCCGAGCGGCTTTCATGAGGACCCTCCTCAAAAGGACACACCACACAGGATTTAAATAAGCAAGGAAAAATTGTGATGGTGACTCACTGAAGATGCATGCAAAACGTCTGGGAATGTACCACGTCCGCGGTCTAACTTTGAAAATGATTATGCATACAATGGACTCAGGACTAGGTGCTTTCCTCTAAGTCTTCCTACCAATATGGCCAAGTTGCGAAAACAAGGTCAAACAATGTCTAAACAACATTATTACCCACTTTTCCTGCTTAGAAATGGCTATCTTGGCTTAATCTTATATCATTTATTCCCTTAAATGTAACTGTGGTTACAGTCAATGAGCGGAATTGCATATACTATAAGGGCTGATAACCCAAGTGAGTGGATTGAGTAAGAGCGTCATTATCAAGAATCTGATTCTGAACTCCACTGAGAAGTGCGATGAGGTTTAGGCAAAAATCAAAGAATATCTATTGATAGATGGAAGAATGAGTGAAATCGAAGATGTAATCGTTAACAAATTCACATCTTTTCTTTTCTTCATTGAGGGTGGATCAATAATTATGACTTAATAGACTGAAAGACTTCATTGCATCAACTCACCCGAGTTTATCTTAGTTATGAGTCTGATCACAATGTATACTTTAAGAAATTAGTTAAATTGCAACTTAAATATATATTTAAATGTTCAAATAATGTGCACTTTGAATGTCTAAAATTACCCCATATATCGGCAAAATTGTCTATAATTTTATAAATGTCTACTGCGTACTACTGCCACTTTATGATGAATACTACTCATGATTCTATATTTAAATTCTACACAAACCAGGATAGTTTGGCAGAAATATCCGGAATAGCCTAGAGCTGTTGGTCGGATCTTCCTTCTGCGTGCCAGGCAGTGAGAATTCGGGCCTTTCGGCTGCGGCCATCACTACTCGGCCCCAGCCATTGAACACTTTGTGAAGCCAGGAGATGGCCTCAACGATTCTGGCGGTATCTTCGGGATGTGCCAGATAGTTGGGATCTGGTCTGGCCTGGTGACACTCTTGCGACCACAATTCATCCATTAACTTCGGCTCCATTGCATCTTTGAATTTGGCGCCATCAGCTGTTAGACCCTCGGGTTGTGAAGATGCAAGAGGCATGTTCGGAGGAGAACTTGGTTTTCTTGTAGAGTTGGCATGTTGCCTGGGGCTATGACCCGATCTGCGGTTGGAGGGCGCCAAGTGTCCGGGCTCTTGGTGGGAGTCGAAGAGGTCGTTGGATGAAGAATCGCTGAAGGAAATGGAGGGATTATTTTTAATTTGATTTGTGTGATTGTTGGAGGAGTTAGCCGTGAAATGAGAATAAATGAGGCTGTCGTCATCAGCTCTGTTTGCGAAAGAGTGATTAGCCTCGATGGCCTGCAGAGGCGGAGTCGTAGCATTGGGAGAGCTAGACAGAAGAGGTGATGATTGCGATGGGGTCGACGATGACGACGTTGACCAGAATGATGGACCAGGATGTTGAGACTGTCCGTCAACTGAAGCGGGTGAACACTTGATTCGGCCACGTGATTTTGGGTGTAGCAGAGAGGTGATTAGGATAAAAGTATCCTCGTGAAAATTCAACGTTGGGATGAACTGAAACCAGGCTCTCGATAGCATGTTGCTCGTCTAGTCAGAAATGCAAAATTGTGTTGGAAGAAGAGAGTGGCTAAAACACTTTTATCACTCTTGATATGGGCGTTTCCATCTAACTCTTTTGTATCATAACGAACATCAACAAATTGTTCCATCCGGACTTTAAAATCTGCCATCAATACCCCCCCCCCAAGCTGGACAAATTGTAGAAGTCAGCCCAGAGCTGCTCAACTTGCGTTTTAATATCATCTTAACCTTTCCTCGGGTACCGGACCATGAAGGCTAACCATGCCACGCCGAAAAAATAGGATCGTATGACAACGGCTGGCTTACAGTTCACATTCATAGAGCATCTTAGTAAGTTATTGTTGGTGCTATTCAAAAGTTGTGTCTCAAGAGTCAGACATCGATAATATCATATGCTTCTTGAAGGACTGAGTG